ATGTACACATACACATATATATATATATATATATATATATATATATATATATATATATATATATGAACACCATTAACCCTCTGGGAGCGGCTGATTTCAAATTTTAGAGAATTTGTCTGAGCGCCTGCAGTGATTCGACAGCCGTTATTTCACAGGAGCTTTGAGTTAGACTCTGATTTTGATCTGAGACCCTGAACGTGGCTGTTACAGCACACGGCTCCCGAGTCACCCACACGGTTCAGAAAGAGCGTTACGCACAGTGGACCAGCGGCCGGTTAGCGTGGGTCAGAACCAGGACGTGTGTGCAGGTCCACCACCCTCAAAGAAACGAACCACAGGGTTCAAACCAACCGACGAGTTTGAAAAAACTGAAAGTGTATTTGCCAAAAATTATATTCCGAGCACAGCGATCCCAGCTATATATAAATCAGAGTTGGTTTATTCCTTTTTTCTGCTGAAGTGAAAAGGATTCTGAAGGATCTAATTCATCTGGAAGACAGAAAAGATTACAGAGAACTGTAAACCAAAAGAATCTCATTTAATTCAAAGCGCTGCCAAAAATGATTCCAGATTTTTAGAGTGAAAATGACCGCAGCGTTAGAAGTGTACTGCATGGCCTTAAAGGCGCAGCGTACGATTCTGGAGAACTATTGCACTGCCGAGGAGAACTACTGAGAGAAAACAATACGGACCTGTTGGCTCTGTGAAACAGCAAAAATAGGTAAATGTTGCCCACCTGTCAGGCAGAAACTGAGCAGCCTCCTCATCCCTTTTCATGACTTTACCTCTTGATAAAAGCTGAAGTGAGCTTCTTTCTCACCAGCCTCCTGTTTGAATTTTCCCGTTCCACCTTAACTGGTACAGCAAATACATTCTGGTGTCTCAGTTTCTTGTTTGAATTCCCCCGTTCCACCTTAACTGGTACAGCAAATACATTCTGGTGTCTCAGTTTCGTATTCGAAATTTTCCCATTCCTCTTTAAATGGTGCAGCAGATAAGCTACATTCAGGTGCCTCAGCTTCTTGTTTGAATTTCCCATTCCACCTTAAATTGTGCAGCAGTTACATTCTGTTGCCTCAGTTTCTTATTCGAACTTTCCTGTTCCACCTTAAACGGTACAGCAGTTAGTCAGCCTCTTTCCACTTTCAATAAAACACTACACAGAGTGCACTAAACACACTTCTCTACACTACACACACAAATCTAACATGACGTCACTTCTTTGCCATTTCAAAGCACCACCTTTTAAAACACCTCACCTGAGAACCGACTGACCAAACATGGCCGTCAGGTGTGCAGACACTCAGGTGTTTGTAAACCCACCAATCAGACGTAAGCATAAAAAATACAGAAAGGTAACAGGTACGTTTTTTCTGTGATATATTCTAGTGAGAAATGCAGCCTTTGGAAATGCAGACGTCTGGCTGATGTTACAGTGTGGAGAGGAGTAAACAGGCTCGTCGGTGTGCGGTGCTGATCTTGAGTGATGTGTTCGGTTATTCATGTATTTTACTTTAACAACATCTGTGAGTAAAACCAAACCCAGACTGTATGATTAGAGGAGCAGGAATGTTAAAGGTGTTTCAGACAGAGCACAGCAGTGTTTAACAGGATCAAACAGACTCAGATTGAATGAACAAAACAAAAACAAAACTGGCTTTTTAAGAATTGATGTAGTTTTGAATGAAGTGTTTAGTGCACTGTGTGTAGTGTTTTGCTGAAAGTGGAAAGAGGCGCTGGGATGTAACTGCTTCATCATTTAAGGTGGAACGGGACATTCAAATCTGAGGTGCCAGGATGTGACTGCTGCACCATTTAAGGTGGAACAGGACAATATAAACAAGCTGGTGAAAAAGAAGCTGATTTCAACTTCTTATCAAAATGAGAATTACATAGATTAAAGATGATTTTACTTGATTAGATATCATTTTTTGCAGTGTAGAGTCCAGAGCCTCTACTAATTAACTCATTTGAAAATGTGCCCCAGGATCCCTTAAACGCAACCCTGGAAATACTTTACCGGAAAAAAAAAATTAAAGTTTAGGTCCGTTTAAAACAAACAGCATTTTGTTTCCAAGTAAACAATTAACTTCAATGTCCAAACACTTTTGCCACTGTATATGGTAAGTGTTTCTGATAAAGTGGCCAAACAGTGAAGGCAGAAGACATCTCCGTCTATACTCATTAATAAACACAGCACAGCAGTACTCAGTTAGTAGAAAGTCTGGAGATCACAGTCATTGATGATGACTAAACCCACAACCCTCTAGAACACAGCTTAGTGGTCAGGAACACTGAGTACCAACCGCAAGTGCTAGAACAGTCGCTCTTTATTTGTTTTCTGTCTAACTCTGTCATGTGTTCCTGCCGCGTTGAGCGTTTGTGTGATAATTTATTTTGGTGTTGAGACCTGACTGATACAGCTCGACTCGCCATTGTTCCACCTTTTCCTGTTTTTCCTCGTCCATATCTGTGTGAGTATGAGAGAGAGAGGGAGAGAGAGAGAGAGAGAAAGAGAGACAGAGAGAGAGGTAGAAATAGAGGCACAGAGAAAGAAAGAGAGAGAGAGAGAGAGAGAGAGAGAGACAGAGAGAGAGAGGGAATGAGGAAGGGGGAGAGTGAGGGAAAAAGAGAGAGAGAGAGGAAGACAGAGAGAAAGAGGGAGAAGGAAAGAGGGAGAGAAAGGCCGAGAGAGAGAAAGAGAGTGAGAGAGAGAGAGAAAGATATAGATAGACAGAGAGTGTGAGAGAGAGGCAGACAGAGGGAAAGGGAGAGAGAGAGGCAAAGAGAGAGAGAGGCAGAGAGAGAGAGACAGAGAAAGAGGGAGAAGGAAAGAGAGAGAGAGAGAGGCAGAGAGAGAGAGTGAAAGAGAGAGGCAGACAGAGGGAAAGGGAGAGAGAGAAGCAGAGGGAGAGGAGAATGAGTGAGAGAGAGAGAGAGAGAGAGGAGTAAAGAGATGAAACTGAGTTTAATAGTTAATAACACAAAGTATTTGGGAGCCTAAAATCACGTGACTGTTTTCCCAACAGTCCTGTTCCTCTCTCTCTCTCTCTCTCCCTCTCTCTCTCTCTCTCTCTCTCTCTCTCTCTCTCTCTGTCTCTCTCTCACCCAGATTAAGGAGAAATATGCTTTCACCAACCCGACACACTCACACACTCACACACTCACACTCTCACACTCTCACACACACAGAGCTGAGCTCAAAGTTAAATAAACAAATCTCAAGATGATTTCACAACCTCCCCATCTCTCTCTCTCTCTCTCTCTCTCTCTCTCTCTCTCTCTCTCTCCCTCTCTCTCTCTCTCTCTCTCCCTCTCTCTCTGTCTGTCACAACAGGAAAGAACTCCACTCTCAACCCCAAACACTTCAGTTGGTATTTTTCAAAGGAAGGAAAAAAAACAAACGACCACAAACCCTAAAAATGACCAAACCACACAAACGTGTGTTTGCATACAATGGGGTCACATATATATATATATATATATATATATATATATATATATATATACATACATATACATATATACAAAAACATACACACTCAAAAAATGGTTCTTCAAGGGTTCTTTAGTAAAGAGAAAGGTTCTATTTGTAACCATGAGGTTTTCATATATTTCCACATTTCATGCTTAAAATGGTTTTGCATGGTGAAATGGTTCTTCAGATTGGTGGAGAATGTGTTGTTCCCTTTCCCTTTACTGAAGAACCCTTGAAGAACCATCCTATCAGAGTGAACACCACCGTTCAAAAGTTTAGAATCAGTTTTCAATAATATAAAACTAATTTTGTTGCAGTTATGTGTACAAAACCATTCCATTACGAAGGACTTTTCAGGATTCAGCTAATTAGAATCAAGCTGTAAATAAGACAAGCACTGTGTCCACTCACTGTCCACTCCATTAGACACTCCTACCTTGTTGGTCCACCTTGTGGATGTAAATACTCCAGCAGCACTGCTGTGTCTGATCCACTCAGACCAGCGCAACACACACTAACACACCACCACCACGTCAGTGTTACTGCAGTGCTGAGAATGATCCACCACCCAAATAGTACCTGCTCTGTGTGGACTTAAATGTTAAGGCTGATCTGAGTACTTATATGCAATACGTCCCATATGCATTATAGTCGCTGCCAAAATCTCCAAAAAATCTTCACAGAAAAAGGAATGATTCTTTTCGAATTATCTAAAAATATTTTTGTTCCAAGTCATTTTGGACCATTTCTATTGGTTTTTCATCATGAAATTTTGATACAGTGTGAAATGACAGCTGGCATTTTCAAATTATGTACCAAGAAATGAAAAAAAGGAGATTTTGTTTTCACAGATTAAGTATCTACGTGTAATAAAATGCCTTATATGTATTATATACAAGTTCCTATATGTAAAATGTCCCATGCATACTGTACACATGTAAGTATGTATATATAATACGAATTACACTGTAAAAAAGTGGCTCATCAGATCTACTTAAAAAAGTACTTCATGTGGTAACAAGTAAATTAACTAGTTTTAGTCAACCTAAATAAATACTTTGAATGAACGATTCTTTCAAAGTATTTTTTTGAGTTGAATAAAACTAGTTCAATTGCTTGTTACCACATGAAGTACTTTTTTAAGTAGATCTGATGAGCCACTTTTTACAGTGTATTTAAGCCTAATTCTAAACCTAATCCTAGTCGTATCCTCAGGAATCAAAAAGAAATGTTTTTCTCTTTCGGTTTTACAAAATGGAACATGAGCTTTTGTAAAAAACAACAAAACAAAAACCTTATAACGTGATTATCGATCCTGTTTTCACTCATCATTTTTGTCCTGAAAATGTACGAATCCATACAGAAGCTCTACTGATCTCTGTGAAAGAGAACCGTCAGTGAACAAACACTCCACTCTCAAACTCACAGTTGACACGCTTTAATTACACAACAATAAATAATATTCAACAAACAAAACACAACAAATGTGCTACACTGTTTTAAATATGCTGCATATGATAAATATTTGGTTGTAATAACAAAACTCATTCTACGTATATAAACATATAATATTAATTTATATAGTTCATCAATACGCCAACATTTAACTTTCAGAAATCTGAAAAATCAATTAAAAATAGAAACAAAACAGAAAACACCAAAGAACAACGCAGAAACACTGTTAAACATGACTGTGCTTCAGCGGAAGGACACAGAGAACTCAACCAGCCAAAAACCACGGAAAATCCAAAGGCAGCTAGATCACAAAAACACCAGCAGCCCATATTAAAGACTTGTAAACAGTTTTCTCTACTGCAGGCTCGTCTACAGCGTCCTCCACTCCTACCTGAACAGCTCGACAGAGAACTGATCAATGTGTAAAGAGATTTTGTGTGTTTTTGTTTTTAACTAAAGTCACCGCTACTCCTCTTCCAACAGCATGAGGGAGAAGTCAGTCTGCTCTTCCTCTTCCTCTTCATCCTCCTCTTCCTCTCTGCAGGACAGACGCTTTAGCTCTTTTCTTCTGCAGCCCAGAATCTCCATATCCGTATCCAGGAAACCACCTTCATCATCACCGTCCTCCTCATCCTCTTCATCGCTGAAGTCCTCCTCCCATCTCTTCACCTTCCGTCTGCTCTGCTTCTCCTTGTTATTCTCCTTTCTGTTAATCTTCTTTTTCTTCCGTTCTTTGTCCTCTTCTTCATCCCTCTTTTCCACTTTAACTTTGGTCTTCATGTCCCCTTTAGGATGTCTGATGTCAGGGGTTGTTTCCATGGCGCCCTGAGGAACTGTCTGGTCCTGAACCTGCTGCTTTTCTGCATCTAAAACATCAGAGGGACAAAATATCAGAACATCAGATTATAGCTGCAGCACAGCAACGTCATATTTTAACCCATTAATTAAAAATGCCCATTAATTAAGTTCTAAATTTGATTTAAGTTTTGGAAATATATGAAATCAATCAAAACATAAAAGGAGTGTTTCGTATCAAATTTTCCAATTAAATTCAGTCTTTTATCATGTGGGACTACAATTTTTTACACTAGAATATCCAAAAAATATGAAAATTGTGTAATTAAAGAAAACTAAATGTGGACTGTTAGATGTTCATCTAAGGTGGAACTGTACAAAATTTCACTTTAGACCAACCCAAACAAGTTCTGTCTATAGTAGGGGTGGGAATCTTTAGGCACCTCACGATTCGATTATGATTCAGAGGCTGCGATGCGATTATAAAACGATTATCGATGCATCATTTTTTTTCTATACACGATTTCTATTTTCTTACTGTCTGAGAACTTGGTAGTTTCAAAACAAAGTATTTGTAATGATCCATAATGCATTTACGTCCAATATCTTTTATTAATAAAACAAATGGAAGTGATGTGGCAAGTGAACTGGAAGGCTCTCATTCACTGCTCTTGTTTGGAGACGCTGCTGCCACACATCTGTAATAAAATGCGCTGTTATGGTGAAATAAGGTCCAGTGGTGATGGATGACCACGCAGCACTTTATATATTCTTTAGTGATTTCATAACTTTGGTTTTGGTCTCGTGGAAGGCGAAAGACTGCAGGTCACGTAGCAACAAGGCTTCGCCGAGCGAGTAACGAATGAAAAAGGAAAAGAAAAAGACAGACGAACATTTGGAGATGAATGGACCTGTTTGCATTTATAAGCAGCACAGTTGGTTTCCTGGTGCGTTAAATCTGCAACGAGAGACGGTCAAACACTAAAAAGTTGCGAAGATGAAGTCGCTTCTCTTTCTAATTTTCCCGCTCCACTTTAAATGGTGCCGCTTTTACATTCAGCGCCTCAGTCAGAATTTAAGGTGGAACGGGAAAGTTCAGCAAGAAGCTGGTGAATGAGAAGCGACTTCAGCCTCGTAAAACAGCCGAACGCTGAGAGACATTTTACAAGAAATGATTCAATTTTTGAGGAAAAGTTTTTTTGGCGGAGAGGGAAGAAAAGCGGCTAAAGCTAAAGCTTAAAGCAGAGCAGAGCTCGTCCGCGTTTTTGTTTATATTGATTAGTCTATACTAGGACATTAGCACATGCTAAGACATACTGGACATAAATGTTGCGGCTCCCAAGGTGGTTTAAAGGACAAAATGGCTCTTCTTATCATTTGTGTTGTGACTCCTGACCTAACCTGGCTTTAACGCAGAGGGAGCCGGTCGGATTTCTCACTCATCCAGTTGTGTTTTTGTTATGTGCCGCCACAGACTGTCCGGGCGCTGCACTTACCCACTTCCAAGTTCCGCCCTTTGCGTTCCGTCAACATTATGTTATAAATCAAATATTTAGAAAATCGATTTTTGATATTTGTGAATCGATTCAGAATCATCCACGTCTGCATCGCGATGCATCTAAGAATCAATTTTTTCCTGCACCCCTAGTCTATAGTCAAGTCAAGTCAAGGCAAGTCAGGCTTTATTGTCCTTTCAGCTCTATACAAATACACAAAACAAAAAAGTGAAACAAAACAATGTTCCTCCAGGACCAACACAGGAACACAAGCGCAGAACAATACAATAAACACAGTGCAGACAAAACAGCACAAATACAAAAGACTTACAGAACAGAGCACAGGCAGCACACGGTACTGAGAGTACGTAGAGCTGTGCAAAGGAGGATGGAACACACTATGACATATTAGCAGATAGCCTAGCGTATATAAGCACAGCAGTCAGTGAGGTAGCAGCCAGAGCAGCGATATACAGTATACAGTTTTGGGTGATATAGTAATTCTAGCAGCTAACATTGTTAAAGTGAATTAAAAAGCGCAAAAAATGCAGATATTCAGATCTGCAGTCATATCAAATGAATTATTTCAGTGAAATGCGGTGACTATATTTAAAGACAGTTATAGTTGTAATTGTGGGACACAAATGGGTTAATCAAAGAACTTTATATTTATACTGCAGCAATAAACAAAACTTTCTTGGTGCAGAATGTGTTTTTGACCAACTTTAATTTGGACTTGCATTATTATTCTAACTCAATTCAGCGAGTGTTTTGTAAACGGAGGTGCTTTTACGTCACTTATGACCCCCATAACGTACATACTTTTATAGTTACAGGGTTAGAAAAGAAGTAAAATGCAGAAATTTCAGCAGTCGCTCAGCACTGCTTAAACGTTCTACTCTTCCATAGTGCAATAAATACATCTTCACATACTGATTAGAATTATTGCTCAAGCATGTGAGTTTATAGTTCAGTGAAGGTCTGTGTTTAGTCACGTTCAGTGTCACCTGCTTTGTGGGCTGGTTTATTCTTCTTTGGCAGAGAGAACGAGGGAGTGAAACACTTCTTCTCCATATCTGCTTTCACCATCAGCCACAGATAAACAGAAATCACATACAGAAAGAGAACACAGACGACAGAGAGAGAGAGAGAAAGAGAGAGAGAAAGAAAGAACGAGGGGAGAGAGAAAGAAAAAGGGAGAGAGAGTGAAAGAGGGAGAGAGAAAAAAGGGAGTTATTGTAACTGTAGTGGGTATGGTAATGCTGTGAGCTATGTTCTGTGGTTATGAATGACGCTGGCCTCCTCCGTCCTCTCTCTCTCTCTCTCTCTCTCTGCTCCAGTTCATCTTGCTTACCTTTCTGTTTGTTGACTTTCAATCCGCCTTCCTCTGAATTTCTTGCGCTCTCCACCCCTATTTTTCCGTTCTGCATCCTCTTCACGCTCTTTCCGCTCTCACGCTCACTCTTGTTTTCCTTTTTCTCCCCATTCATTTCTTTGGCCCTCTTTTTACTTTCACTCTTCTCTCTCCTTCGTTCTGGGGGCGACAAAATAAAAAACCTAAAAGATCACTAGACATTTTATTTCTGCATTTGCATAACGTTTGGCTTTGCTATAGAACTATTACCATAGAAACACCCACACTGGACTGTTTTGATACATTTACCGACAAAAAACATTGCAAAACTGCAAGATGACTGTAAAACAGTAACAATCAATATGAAATCAACCCATAAACACCTTTAAACAGTTAATGGGAAATTTAACACATTGATTTTCAACGTTTCAAAGTTTAGTGACAGAAGTAAATTTCAAATATTAATTTGTAAAAATAATTTCTAAAATATGCTTTTCAGAGACCATAACAAAGTAAAATTAACACACTTGTTGTGTACAGACCTTTGACGTATGCTTCAACATATTTTCGTGACATTCATCATAATCTCTAGAGCTCTCCTCAACTTCCATCTCTAGCTACATTATCTGCTCTTTTTCAGACTAATTTTGTTTGCAATCCCTTCTGCTAAATTTCTGAATACAGGGCCATCATCAGTTCGATTTTTTTTGTAGTACTCATGTATTTTAACTTAACATAGAGGATGGCTCTTTCCTCAGAAGCTATCTTAGGATTCAATGCCTCCAACAGATAAAAATAAGATATTTTTGTAAATTTTATGGCTTAAAATCTTCTATAAATCTTTGCAAGTATCTGTAGGACTCCTGAAAAAGCTGTACAGTTTGATTGCTCTGAAAAATTTCTTCAGATTTGTGGTCAGAGAACATTAGAGAAGCCCGAACATTTCAGATACGGACATTAATGGGTTAATGAAGGCTAATGTATGAGTGAGTAACGGATTTCAGTGACTCAGGGATTCTTTTCCTTTGAGTAAGTTAAGAGAGGAGTTAAAGGGAAACATGGGAATTTTGAACTGTGTACTACAGCGGCACATACACACGTAATCCATCTGGGAAAGTTTACTGTTTATTTTACTGTAACTCACGCTTCTCCTCTCCTTTCTTCAGGCATCTCTTTAGCTTTTTAGGCCACAGATTCTGAAACGCACGCACACACACACGCACACACACACACGCACACACACACACACACACACAAACGCACAGAAAGCCTTTGATTAGGTTGAATTTTTGTTCGAATTGTTGTGGACAACTGAATGAGAACTTTCAGCAGACTCATGTTTCATTCACAAGCTGTGTGTGTGGGTGTGGGTGTGTGTGGGTGTGTGTGTGTGTGTGTGTGTGTGTGTGTGACTGACCTCATCGTCAGAGTATTTTCCACTCTTTCCACCGAAAAGCTCTAAAACGTCTGTAGGGCCAAAAACAGAACATTCTCAAACATGCACACACAAACAGACCCAAAGTCAATCAGATATAATCGTGTGATCTATTTTTCCACGTGTGATTGTTTGTGAGGCCACACTGAAAATGTGGGTTTTTTTCATTTAATCCTTGAAATAAATAACAGTATGTTCTAGAGCTCAGAAAAATTTACAACAAAGAAAAGTTATGACAGGTAAAAGAAAGAAGAAATATTAAAAATTCTGCACTAATTGTAGATACATTTTCAAATTTAAGCATATTTGTGACTAGGTTAACACCTTCGTAGTAAAAGGTTGGACTGTTATGGGTTTTAACTCTTCCACTGAAGCTCAGATGACTCTCAGGTGGATCTCACTGCTCATCAGTCTCCCAACGTGTCATAGCCTGTAGCCTTAAGATTACTATACTTTTTTGTGGAGGACGAATTGCTGAACGGTGGCTTAAAAACTCGTACTGTGACTGAAACGTCCATCGCTAGTAAAAACTAAAGTGTCTTATTTTAACAAAGGACAGAGAGGAGTGGAAGTAGTCAGGTCTGGGTGTGTGTGGGTACGAATGTGTTTAACTACAACTTATGAATGTACGTAAACCTGCAATGTCACTGTCCTCCTCCGAGCTCTCTCTGTCTGAGTCATAACGACTCCAGAACCCAAACTCCATCAGCCGCATCTGGAAAAAGAAGAGAGCGAGAGCAAGAGAGAGAGCGGGAGAGAGAGGGAGATTCCCATATGCAGTCAGAATGTTCTGTGAGTAATACTCTGTTATAAGATCCTTTTAATGAGGTTGTATAAGTAAATCACTGGCACCCAGCACATCAATGTCTCTGTATGTGCTTCCGGAGCAAAACAAATGAAACAAACAAACCCGGAAATTCCCAGGATATGCAAACCATGAGACCCCAAACAGAAAATCTGCATGCATTCCTAGAGATGACATCTGCTTAATCATGTCAAATTCAAGTAGTTTTCATAAGATGAGGAAAATTATGTAATTATTATATATAATTAAAAATATAGTACATAGTTTTAATTATTTAAAGAGCGTCTGGGGCGTACAAGACACCAAACATAACATTTTTGGAATTAAGTGAGGAATGCAAACTGAAAGCCCAGCTCCAGATAACTATGTTTATAAAGAGTGAGAAACACACAGAAAGAAATAAAGACAGAATCTTCTATTTGATGTCTGCAGAAAAGGAACTGGCTCCCTCTAGTGGCTTTAAGAATAGCACATTCATAATAAGATCACTGCCAGTAATTCTGAAGAACCTGCATGACCTCATCGAAGCTGGCGAACGAGGAACTCCAGCTTTGTGACTTTTTAGTGTTTGTCAGTTTCTCGTTGCAGATTAAACGTATCAGGAAACCAGCTGGAGTGATTATAAATTTAAACAAGTCCGTTCATCTCCAAATTATCGATGTTCGTCTTAAATCTCTCTCTTCGCCATTTCGTTAGATACTAGCTAGGCGAGATTGTTGTCTGTGTTGCTATGGTGACCAGCAGTCTGCGCTGATCTTCAGGGTTAAAGGGTGAATTAGCAGTTCTACATTAACTCCAGAGTTTAAGACCATTTATAGTTAAACTGTGTTGAACGATCAGCAGAGCTTTATTTTACTGTAAAGGAGGATTATTTTATTTTTACCTACTAATCTGATTCTGCTGTGGAGCCGCAACAGGGCAGTAAAAGAGCCGCATGCAGCTCCGAACCCTCATGTTGCCGAACGCTGGTATAAAAGAAACTCAATGCTGCCTTTATTGTAGCTGTTACTGAGTGAGCGTGCACACATACTCAGAATGCCACTCATATTGTTATGGAAATGCTTATTACTGATTTGTTTAAACAGAATAACAATAAAAGGCTACTGAAGTGTAAAGTATATTCCTATTCATGTGTTTCCTTGCTCAAAAATGTTTACGACAAACAAGAAACATTACTTTTTGATTTTGTTGGATCATGAACTTTATATATACTTTATAAATAACACTGACATCACCTTATTACATTGGAAGAATAGAAGATAAAAGATTGACTGTATTGGTAATGTAGGCCGGCTATGTGTACAGTGACATTACATTAAGTAAACATACACTGCATTCTCTATCTATATAAACGTACACATATATACATAAACATGATAGTTTAAATAGTTTCACTGTGTGTATGTTTGTGTATTGGGAATATGCACCTGTGGCGACAGCTTGAGGGCTTGCTTGGACATGCAAATGGCATCTTTCAGTTTCTTCTTTAACTCTGGCTGCTCCAACATCTAATACACAGACATGAACACAACTTAAAAAATCATTACATCTGTACTACATCAGGACGACAACTAAAACCTTTAAAGCTGAAAAGCATGATAGTGTGAGTGTTTACATCGAAAACTTCATCCTCCGATAGGTCTGCATAGTTCCTCACATCGCTGCAGAAAACCCAGTCGATACACACTGGGTCCCCAAAATACGTCACATGATACTTATACTGCAACACACACAAACACAGACATCCTTCAATACCTCGGGACACAAGCGAATTTATGTTCACAAATTTGTGATTAAACTTCAGTGGTATTTGAAATGTGCAGCAGTTCATACAGGAATGAGGTCAGTTTTCTTGCGGAACTCAAGGTAGTTGTTTGTGTCAGGATCTCTCTCGATCATCGCAGGCCACCTGTACACAAAATTATCATCACTACTCACTCTAAACTTATACACAACACAGTCAGTGGTATGGGTCTAGGGATTCGCGAATTTTAAGATTTTATAATAATGCACTCGCCACAAGCATACAAGGAATATGCCTCTCCTCTCTGCTCTTGATTTTATAAGAGGATATTTTCAGAGGAGGGAAGGTCTGCTTTAACTGTGGGCTTGCTTAATGTCTTCACTGTCTTTCTCACTCTTTTCCTCCCTAATAACAGATTTTGCGGGATTTTATAACTCTCACAGATAACGTTTTAACAAGTTATGTACAGCTAACCTGATTTGTTCTAACCAGATTTGTTCTAACTTGACTAGTTCCGTCATTTTTTGGTCAGGTTTGGACAACATTTCTCAAATCCCTCTCGGACAACAGTGTAACACTTAGGATCAGATATATTCTGTGGAGTTATAGTTGAGTTCAGACAGAATTCAGGCAACAGTCAGGTTTGGATAGAATCTCGCTGGACTTCAGTCAGGTTCGGACAGAGTTTTGTGGGGCTACAGTCGGGTTCAGGAAGAATTCTGTCTGCTAGACCACCACAGTAAAGGCAAAGAAAGAGAACAGTATCAGAGCAGCTACATTATGTGTGAGTACCAGGGGTGTCCACTCTGCCAGGCCCAGACCAGTGATCCAGGTACAAGGCTGCAAAAGAATATTTCCTCCTCGCTAGAACTAGACTGCTCTTCTGGAACTGAACAACTGCAGAAAGCTGGGTCTGCAACACACACACACACACACACACACACATTTTTAAAATATATATGCTAAGTATATACAGTCGCACGCAAGCGTCTGGGTGCCTTGGTCAAATTCCATGTTTTGATGATTTTTAAAACAAATCCTCTGCAGAGAACACACTACTGCACATTTTAGTGCACAATTACTGTATATTTGCTGAATTCAACAGTTTCAGGAGAAAAAGTGCTTTGCGCAAAATGTTATGGTAGAAATGGAACTTATTTTGACTCAAAAAAATCAACAAAACAAGTAGTTTGAACAGGATTGTTCAAATTTTTGCATGTGACTATGTACATTCACCTACTATCGGCTCATCTTTATGTTTATAAAGAGTGACTGTGATTTGCCACAAGGTGGCAGTGTTTGGAAAAACATGAACATTTGTCTGTGAAATTCTGCACACATACATTTTGCAGTACCTGGGTTATTCTCACACATCCAGTCATCAGGCAGCACTGAAGGATCGACATCTTCACTCAGTTTCCTCCATTTACCACAATCAGCCCTGCTACACTGCACCCACACTACATCTACACACACACACACACAAATGGTAAAACCACTGCCTCCCAACTTCATCAAGACACATTTAAACTACAAATTAATTAAGGTGGTATGTGTTTGTGTCATAAACACAGGATTCCTGAACCATTTTTAAAATGGCACTTTTTAATACATTTTAAGACCTCAAAATGAAAGAAGCTAACATTTCCAACACACAAGGCACACATAACACAAACTCATATGTGGGATGTATTGAAGTCTTTGAAAGTCTATGTTAAACAAACTGAATGGGTGAAAATAACATGAATGCATGTTTCAAGATATCTGTACAATATATTACTTTTCAGTGTCTGACTATCAATTCTGCTATTAGACTTTTCTGAACGAGTTTAATATACACAATGATTCTTTTAAACCTGGCCTTGAGTTGTCTGAGTAGAATTTAATAACGCTAATATGAAAACCTAAAGAAAAAATCAGCATTTATGAGCTTAAAAATCTTTTAACCTTTAGTAAGAATTTTTAAGTGTCCGCAGTGAGCCTGAAACAGCTGTCATGTTAGTTTAATTCATCATTAAACACACACAAGCAGAAGCGTACTTGAACTGCATGCTGCTTTTCTGCTGTTTTATCCACTTAATTTAAAAAACATGAGACCTACATACACTATACAGGTGAGTCCAACTGAAAGCAACAATCTCAACTGATCCAAATCGATTTTATATGTTAAAACTGTTTCAAGAGTTAGAGATGTCATATTTTCCATTATCAGCAGAAAATGTTAGATAGAATACTGGAGGGAAAAAAGGGTGAATGTGATTAGCTGTTAGCTGTGTAGTTTCTCCTGCAGGGTAGGAGAGTGATTGAGTAGTTTTGGCATGCTGGCCAACTTTTAGATCATCATGGTAAAAATAGGGATTCAATTAAAAACAGCTTATTTCAAAGTTGCCACGGTATCAGTATTGAGCGATACTCAAGGTATCAATATCGCTTTTGAAAAGTAAAGTGGTGTACCATGCATATTAATGAAGATGAAAAACAGAGACTGGATAGAGAAGGGTTATCGGGACTTGAGGCAACTGGGACATGGATTCTTGAAGAAGAACTGAATGAAGTGGACTTTACTCTCAACATCAGTGCTACAAAGATCCCTGCCTTATAACTACCATATAATTACCTTATAATCCACACATCAGGTTTTTGCAATCCATATTCAAACATCAAACAGCAGTTTGATAACGATATCTGTTCATATGAAGCATCTTTGTTCACACCAAATGTTAAGGCACGCACATTCGTCTGAGCCACTGTCGTTCTCCTCTTCTCTCTCTTCTTCCTTACACTCCGGTCTGTTCTTCATCTCTTTCATGCTCTCTTTGTCCAGTGCAGATGGAACTGAGCTGCACTCTTTCGTCTCACCCTTCTCTTTCTCCTGCTCGGCTCTAAGAGTCACAGCAATAAATGAAAAACAGGAAAAGTTAGGTCCTCAATATTTAGGAAGTTATCATTTATAACTCGCAGTTATCATCTGTGATGAAAAACCTGTAGTGTAACTTGATAAAAAAAAAAAGAGCTGCTGGACATTTTTAAAATTTAAGTGTTTTTTAATACTTGTTAGACCTCAACAAATTAATAAAACCATTTGCTTCAGGCATCAATGCACACAAACTCAAATATATGTTCATTTTATTCAAACCGACTGGCTGAAAAAAGCAGACATGGATGCTTTGATATCTATCTGCTTTGATACTGAACAGTCTTGGCACAGCCATGTCAGTGTGTCTGAATCAGAGTTATTATGAAAAGCAGCTTTAGCTTAATTAGTAAGTAGTATCAGTTAGTGTTAATTTTTAGTATAACGATAAATGCTGCAATAGTTTGACAACGATAGGATGAATAACCCAAACTGCACTACTTCTACATAAATTGCAAAAGTATGCACTGTTAATTGGGCTAAACAATTTGGGGAAAATATCTAATTGTAATTTGTCTGACCAACATTGTGACTCAAATTACGATTATTTTCTATAGATAAAAGTCCAGGCCCATTTTTGGGCCACGAAGACCAGCATGTCATCTATACGTCTTGCAATGTTCAGATATCACTACTAATGTATCACTTGGTATGGAGTTGCTGACAGCTCAGATTAATGCCAAACTGCACTGTAGTTTCACTCAGATGAAGTCTGCTGTTTTAGCAATGCTAAAACTGGACTAGGCTAGGCTGCAGCTTTACTTAAGAGCAGCCAAAGACATAGAAGAAATATAATTTACAACTGTACTATATGCAGTCTGTTTTTTAAATAAAGCAGTGGACATTATTGTTTTTATTTGGCTTTTGTGTTTTTGGAAAAACTGTCATTTTTATTTTTCTTACAACTTCTTTCTTAACGGCTTTGAGGTTAACATAAAAACCCTGGTTTGACCTTATCAGTCCTCTAGGCCTTTAACAGTATATATTATTAGTTTATTAGCTCAGATTCAGACCACAGGAGCACTGTTGGCTGGACTGCTGGTTTTGCGGAGTGTACTGAATTAATACAACACAACAATACGCATTCTGAATCTTTAGAATTACCTTGAAATTAAATTCCTGTAATTCTGTTGAAAGTGCAGATACCAAACATTATCTATAATACCGCATTTGTATGCTTTACTTATTTTTGCATCTATTTTTCAAATCAGACCTGTCAAATTTAATGTACAGAACATAAATCGAACATAGTGACTATATTATGTAATTATATAATTAGATTTAGTTTAGGAAAATCTACTTACAAGGGTTAAGAAAACTTCTCTGCAAGTGTGAGAGGCATAGGAGGAGAGAGAGAGAGAATGGATAAGGGAGGAAGACAGAGAGATACGCCACCTGCAAGTCTTCCGATCTATACTGGCTTGCATTGATTCCACCTCAGACAGCATGGCTTTGGTGTCCTCTAAACACAGAGACACACACACACACACACTAGTTTAAATATATTTCTTAACTATTAAATGTACAAATTAACATGTGATAATAGTGAAATCTAGGCAGGCAGAGATGATGTTCACTTACCTATTAGAGTGGATATAGAAGACTCCAACACGGCCTCTACTATCTCATACTTATTGGCTGTTGGCCGCTGGGCCTGAACACGGAGCAGTCAAATACACAACAACAAACACAATTTTAATTGTTATTGATTTGGTCGCAGCAGCTGTGATAACACAGGACCTCAAGCACTATATGGAAAAAAGTAAAACCAAGAGGCCCAAAGCATCGTCTGAAATGTGTTTTTAATACTGGCAATTCTTTCTTCCAAAAAAAGACTGAGCCAATACCAAGGTCAGCTTTTTTCAACACTTGTCCAAATAACCTGAATGCCATGCTGTTCCAGTTACACTGTAAAGCATTTCACAGCACATCTTGTTTGCTGGATTGTACTCTGTTCATTTCTGGCTACTTCAGGTTTGTTCAGTTGTTCAGTCACAGCTGAAGACCAAAACGCTTGTTTAGGACCAACAACAGGTTTGGAATTTGATGAAGCCCTGTGGTCTTGCTCTTCTTCAGAAACTGACCAAACGGGCTGCAGGTCAGATCTTATAAAAGTTATCCCATGTCCATTTTCTGTTTTTGTATGTGCTACAGTAGAAACATATTAACGGTTAGCTGAAGTGTAAAGCGATAGCTAGTTCTAGTCCAGTGAGACAGACAGGGCGGCACTGTTCAGCGTTTACTTGCTTCACCTGATAAAGGGAGATATAATTAGCTGATGAGCAGAGTCTGCTGTGCTACACCAAAGGTATACATCAGTGCTTTTCATCATGAAAGATTATAATTACTGATTCTGTGTAGCTGCAAATTAACATTTTAGAAGCCTGTCAGGAAGCGTTTGGTTAATTTCAGATGAGGTTTCTGTGAACATTCACACAAATAACAGGTGTTAATGCAGCATCTGATGGACGGTGTTTCAGCAGACGCCGCTGAGAATGTATGTTAGAACTTCATGAATTTAACGCTTCATTAGTCATGTAGAGATCAAAAAATTTACCTAAGATATGTCCTGATGTTTTTATCACTATTATTATATGTTTTAAAAAGTCTTTTAAATATTTTTTTGTAAAAAAAAGAACAGAAAAAAGAAAGTGCTTGTGTTTCTGCTTCATATTCCTTGCTTCCAATTTTAACGACCAACCTACAGCTTTCATTAGAACGTGAAACGTTTTGGACTTCTGCAGGTTACACTGACTCTACACCAGTCTGCTCGTTACGGTTATCATCATCCAGAGACAAGTCCACACACACTCCGTCTCTGTAGCTGCATCCATCCAAGAAGTTAACGGAATTATAAAAACTTTGATCTTAAAACATCATAACGTACTGTTTCGTACCTCATCATCCCTCATTCCCTCTTTTTTGCTTTTCTCCATAACCTTTTCTTTTGCAGTCTGTCCATCTTCATCACTTCCAGTCTTCTCCCATTTAGGTCTCTTCATTCCTACCACTGCTCCACCTTCTCCGTCCATCTCTTCCTCTTTTACTCTTTTCTTAGGCTTCTGTTTCTTCTTTGTTGCTCCTGTGTGTTCGGTCCCTTTACCTGGCTTTGCTGTCTCATCCTTCTTTTCTCCTCCATCCCTCTCTGGCTTGTCCTCCTCTCTTGCTTTATTCATCACTGTTTTACCTGCTTGTACTGTGGGGGGAAGAAACTTTGCTTTCTCCTTTTGATCTGTGAACCACAGTTTCAAAACACAAGAAATCAGAAACATAATGAATTGTTAATAATCTAAAGCAAACCATGAGCCCAAATACCCACACGGTAAAAACATACTTAGCCAAAACAAACAAATGAGACGAAGCGAGAAGCAAGCTAAAGGATTATTAGGAGGTTACAGTTACATAAATAGCACATAAAGTTGAGCAAAATAATATTTATGATTGAGATAAATTATTTTTGTTACGCTTTCTGAGCATATCGTGGACATCATGAGTAGTTAAAGAATACTGACCAACTGTGTTTCAGTAAATTGGATTTGAAGAAATCCTGTGTATTCAAATCCGCATAAAACTCATTGTACTCATTTTTTCCCATATTTTTAATTGTGGTACTACTGTTTTTTTTTTTGTCTGTTTCAACTTAACAAACCTCAGAAAAACTAAATTGTGATACATTTGTGTAATTTAATATGTCTAATATAATATAATATGTCTTGGAGCATTATGTTGTTTTATTTTTGCCATATTGGCCACCCCTGATGGATTCTACTGCTTATAGATTTATTTCATCGTTTACATTAAACCGTGTAACAGTAAGGGATTTACACAGCTCTACATAACTCACTATATTAGCTTAGTGGTTACAGACAGATGTGGGTGGTAACTAGTACATTTTCTCTGGTCCATGTGCTTAAGTACTTCCCTGAGTATTTTCAAATGATAATACTTGTATTTCTACAAAAAAGTATATGCGTGAGGAAAGAAATCTACTTTTTATTCAGTTACATTTTAGTCAGTAGTATTTAGTTATGCTGCTGGCCGCATCTGAACTGATTTATGATTGTACACACCTGACTTTAGAGGTTTGTTACTTAATTTTAAACATCAAAGAGAGAAAAGCAGAGCCAAGCAAACTTCAGTGTCTATGCTGACAGATGCTGCATGTACTAAGAGGTTCCACTGCGTTTCTCAGTACTACAGAAGTTTTTGGAGCAGCAAATTTTGCACTTCAACTCAAGTTGCTGTTTGGAAGTGCATTTCTTTTACTTTTACTGCAATCATTACCGACTGCAACAACAATACTGCAACTTCAATATGGATTTAGGATGCTCTACACACCTTTGCCTCTGGAGTGCGGTTAAATGGGAACTCCATCGAGCTTTCAAAATTTTCTGCATAATTAAGTTTGTGGTGATAGGAACCAGACGTTTGCCTCTAAATAATAATAATAATAATAATAATAATTTTTATTTATATAGCACTTTTCATGCTGGTGATGGTGGAGGGATATATGTAGAGTGTTGTAAGGCAAAACAGTTCCAAAAGAGAAGTCATTTCAGATTTTCCACTATTTTCCATCATCAACAACTGTTTTTGTATAGTAAATAAAATGTCTACATTTGTGTTGTAGTCATGGCGACCCCTGGTTCCTGTCACCACCACTGTAAACACATCTGACCTATTTCACACCAAACCACTCTGAATGACTTAGTGTACGTCTTAAGAACTTTAAAATGAAATTATTCAGAAACTTTTTTTTAAAAGTTATGGATTCTCCTTTACATTTTACAGCCAGTTATACCACTGTTTTTACTTATGGTTATTTATTTCATCACTTACCATCCCTGTGCACAACTATCTACAATAATTGAACAGAATTTGTTAAGTAAGATCAGTGTCGTGTATTGTAAACACAAGTGAACTTAAGCTAAACGAGCTGACGACAGACAAACTGGCAGAACGTCTAGGAGCATGTAACGTACTTAATCACGTTCCCGCCATAGAAATGCCATTTTTAACGAGTTCACAGACAAGAACCGACTCCTGCAAACGGCTCTTCATTCAGTAAGTTAGCACTGTCAGTTCTTTTCATAATCTGCCGATATTATGACTGATGGAGAACTGTTTGTCTTGCCTTCGTTTACCGAAAAACTAAACGGCTCATCTGAGAGAAAACCGGCTCCTAACTTTCACCTAAAAGAGCCGACTCAAAGAGCCGAGTCTTCGCGATCCGTTCACTCGCCGTTGACTATGGAGAACCATTGTCGAATTCAGTCGTCTAATCACAAATCAGCCGAGTTTAAAACACTACTGATAACTAACTGTTAATCAAGTTTCTATATTTTATTATCTCAAGCTGTTTATACCCGTCAGGTTATCAAAATGTAGGACAGAAGCTCATGAAAAAACAACCCGTTTCCCAGCAATCATTACAAAACACTAATGACAGACGAGGCTGAAAGCTCACGGGCTTCTTGTTCGAATTGTCCCGTTCCACCTTAAACGATGCAGCGGTTACATTCTGGCGCTTCACCGTTTAAGGTGGAACGGGAAGATTCTAACAAGAAGCTTTCAGCCTGGTTAATGAGAATAATAAAAATCTCTGAGGGTACACGGAGTGAGGCTGACCCAAAACTAATACGAATTTCAGAACGTTTGTAGTTTATATACGTTATTTTAGCTCGAACTCCTCATTCACTTAACCCTGTTTTTAAACGGACAGAGTGAAATAGCCAACACTTTAACCCTAGCCGAAGCACTAAAACACGCGTTTAAGTGTTTTACTACGTAAACTAACCTAACTAACGCTAGCTAACACAGTGGCAATCTAACATTTGCGGTTCCAACTAGCTTAGTGATCCAACTAAAAATGTATAAGTTAAACTACTTTCTAGCTAAAGTATTTCTACAGTTCACAGCCTGAGACCTTTTAAACTGTGGGGGGAGAACAGTGGCGCTAACGTTAGCGCAACAAGCTAAGCGAATTCAGCACCGTCAGCCTACTGTGGATAAAACCAGCTCCAAATAGATTAAATTTGAGAGAAGTTCACAGCGTGTCGTTTTCTTACCCTTGTCTGCGTCCGTTCTCTGGGCTGTGTGTGGTGTTTAAGGTGGTGTGTAGTGTTAAGGTGTGTAACTGTGAATAAACGCTGCTTCTCCTCAGCTGAGCTAACCGAGCTAAACTGACAGGATTTCAGCGAAAACACGCAGCGCGCGCCTCCTCAGCTTCCCGCCGAAAACACGCGCATTTTTTTAAAGAGCCGAGTTCAGGTCGATTCACAATCTGTACGACTATATTTAATATAAAAGTAATAATTAAAAAATTAGCCTGTGAAGAAGAAATCACCACGTTTAATTTTAACCTTATATAGACTATGAAACGTAAATAAATAAACAAATAAATAAACAAAGTGGTGATGCACGGATCTGGGTTTTCTGGAGTCGACTCCGAAATTTTTATTTGAACCTAAACAGCCTCAGAGCTGAGTAATAAAGGGACACAGCTGAGATTAAACCATCCTAAACTCTTCTCTGAAAAGGAGCCAGCTGGATATGATCTTTTTCCTCTTTTCACAAGGCTGAAGTAAGTGATGGGAGTCGATTCCTAAAGAATCGATTCTTCCATTCCAACACGTCTTGGAGTCAGGGTCGACTCTCAGCCAATGACTCTAAGAGTCGAAATGCTTGGAGTCGATTCTTCTTTTTTCGTCATAATTGGCTCGAGGCACGTGAAACTGAGTAGTGTGGGTTTGATTGATTAATTAATTAATCTGCTTTCTTATTCAAATTTCCATTCCATCTTAAAAGGAACTGAGAGTTACATTCTGGCGCAGCACACTAAGGCCCAGTCCCATTTCACCCCTCGCCACTACCACTGAGCCCTTAGCTCTCTGTTTTGGGTGTTCTTGTCTAGGGGTCGGATGTCCCGATTCTTGTTGAGATAGAGGGGGAGGGTGAAGTGTTGGGGCTACATGACCCTCCATACGGAGGTTTTTCAGAGACTCTTCAAGCAGAGTGATATGAGAAAAAAGAAAAACCGGCAAGATGGAGAACAAGAGACCGAAGAAACCCACAAATGTGAGAATTTCTCTCAGTTAAAAATGACAGTAACCACTGTTTTATCTTAGTTTAATGTTATTTCACTGTATTTTGGTCCTTTTCTTCATAACAAGCATAAAAAATCGCTAACAGCATGCTAATGTCTCGGTAGCTAGCTAGCTAACTTTCCCGTTCCACCTTAAATAGTCCAGCAGTTTTGACACCTGAAGCACCAGAATGTAACTGCTGCACCATTTAAGGTGGAACAGGAAAATTTGAACAAGAATCTGGTGAATATCTGACTTCAGCTTCATATCACTGGAGAATTAGGGGTGGTGATAATAAATAATTGCCCCCCCCCCCTTTGAAGATCATATGATGCCCTAAATGTAACTAAAGCCCAGCAGTGAGGAGCTGAACTTTACCCTCCTCTGCTGTCACTGCAGACTGGCAGGGTCGCCTACAGAGCAGCGCTGGTAGCTGTTAATGAAGTGATGCTCTTTTTATTTGAGGGTCCCATTTCAATTTCGTAGGGCAAGATTTCAACCACTACCCCTTATAACTCAGTTCCAAGGGGTTAGGGTGACACTCGAAAACAAGGGGTAGGGGTAAAAAGAAGAAATGGGACTGGGCCTAAGTAGAGGTAACTGCTGCATCTCTTAAGGTGGACCAGAAAACCCTGCTGAAAAAGGACCATTAGAAACCATTAGGATTAAAACTTAATGGTTTTGTTTTCTAATAGGAATTGACTCAATGGTATCCATTAGAGACCACTAGTTTCCTGTAAAACACCATTAGGAAACCATAAAATGCATTTAGAATCAGCCACAAGCTGAATTTTCCTCATATCACTGTAATCGAGCTACTCAAAATTGGGTAAACTGCGTTTTCACGATGGTTTAATCTCTGCTGTGTCTCTTTATCACCGGCTCAAATTTCCATTGTGCCTTAAACGGCGCTGCAGTTACGGTCTGTGCATCGCTAGCTGAAGTTAGCCTTGTATTCACCAGTTTTAATTCAGCTTTTCCGGTCCACCTTAAGTGCTGCAGTACTTAGTCTACCATAACAGCACGCCTTTTTTAAGGTGGAACGGAAATTTGATCCTCTTTTCCACAAAGTTCTGGGGAAAATATTGTTGGTTTTGTTTTTGTTCTGTGTGCCGTTTTTGGTCATTGTTTACTGCAACCTTCATCATGGAAAATGAGGAGTTGTGAAAACGTTTTTTTGGTGAGCAGAGTTTGTGCTTAAAGCAGTGCTGATGCTGCGTAAGGCTGGTTATTAAAGACATTATTCAAACTCAGACTCCTTCCTTCATTACACACTCCTCCGTCAAAATGTCCCAGGAGCCAATTACATTTAAACAAACCCAAAACACAGAGTCAAAGGACCGATTCCAAGTTGACCCCGACTCCCAGACGTGTTGGAGTCGGAGAATTGATTCCTGGAATCGACTCCTCAATCACTAAAATAGAGCTGGGGGGGTTAATATTGCCAAGATCCTTACAGGAAAGTCTGTTCACTCGGCAGCCATCTTTCCAACACTGCCGGGCAGTTATTTCCAGCCATACAAGACCGGACTCCTCTCTGTCTGAAAGGGGAGAAACCAAAATACTCGAAAGGTCAAATTACCATTTCAAAAATATAGTTTAACTCACTGGTAAAATCAGTTATAGACCTTTCTAGACATACAGATATAAACAGTTTGTAGCGTTTGGCTCAATAACCTACAAAAAACATGGGTTGTTCTGGTTGTTCTTTTGCGCTTGTGCAGATTTCCCCACCAGTGCCACTATTATATATATATTTACATTTTTCAACCAGTGACCGTTTTCTTATTGACATAAATAATTCATTTACCGTGTGAACATAAAAAGGACTATGAGGCGTTTATATTCATTAAGAAAGCATTACTTGCCCTTTGAATACATTCTCTGTTTTGTTTTTTAGGCTTGTATTAGAGGATTCATGCTGCTTCAATATGAGTAAAATATAGTCAAATCATAAAATATTAAGTTTTTGTTTTCATATTATTATTCTGTACTTAAGTGCATTGATCATTTAGTAATAAAAATATGATTTTTTAGTTAATAACAAAGATCAGTATGTGTCCTATAAATGGTTGTCTGCCTCGTCATACTGGGGAATCCATGCCGTCATCTATTTTAGTGACATCACAACCACAGTTTATTTTCTCTCTTCAGACTTTCCTATTCACAAATTTTCTTTGTTTAAATTTCCTTACTTGTTCCGCCCAAGTTTAACATGTCCACCCTGTCGGCATAAAATATTATGCCGGAAGTGATTAAAGTACAGTATTTAAAAAAGTGAACTAAACCAAATTCCCTTCAACAGCCAGAATAGCTAATCAGCTAGTCACAGTTTGTTTAAGCCAATAAATGCGACGTCATCAGAGACGTGTGTGTAACTAGTGGTGCACAAAACACCAGAAAGCAGCTCTCTTCACAGCAGAAAGCAGCATGACGAGCTGTTGTTCAGAGAAGACGGCTGCAGACTGTTTAGTTCTCAGTAATTTCTCACCATCACTGAGAACTAATTTAGTGAGCTGATCGAAGCAGTTCGAGCCGCCTGGGCTTCCAACGTAGCCTGTGCCACCTGTTTCCTCACTGATCCAGACCTAACAGGTCTATCAATTTCGCTCAAACGGCTGACAAAGTCATGTTAACAACTGGTAAACTCGGGATTCTAGATGATACTTGAGTTAATGAGATGTGACGTATAACGTGTCCTTTAACCTTTTACATGAGTAAAAAAACGCTGCACTTGCAGTGAATATGAAAAAATATATAACTGATTTGCTTCTAATAGATCTGTGTTCTTTTTAACACAGCTAACAGAAAAGGTGTATACATATATATACATACACCGATCAGGCATAACATTCTGACCACCTCTTCTACGCTCATTGTCTGTTTTATCAGCTCCACTTACTATATAGGTGCACTTTGTAGTTCTACAGTTACAGACTGTAGTCCATCTGTTTCTCTGCATACTTTGTTAGCCCCCTTTTACCCTGTTCTTCAGTGGTCAGGACCCCCATGGACCCTCACAGAGCAGGTACTATTTGGGTGGTGGATCATTCTCAGCACTGCAGTAACACTGACAATAACACTGATAGTGAACTACAGTAAGCTAACGTTCTACACAATATTATATTAATATGCTGATCCAAAACAAACAGATCCGACTCAGAATGGCATTTTATTACTGAGTCAACAAGAATTTATAAACAATGTCAAGTCAGGCTTTATTGTGCTTTCAGCTCTATACAAGTACACAGTGAAACAAAACAATGTTCCTCCAGGACCAACACAGGAACACAAGCGCAGAACAATACAATAAACACAGTGCAGACAAAACAGCACAATAAATAAATACAGAAGACTTACAATAAATACAGAACAGAGCACAGGCAGCACACGGTACTGAGAGTACGTAGAGCTGTGCAAAGGAGGATGGAACACACTGTGATATATTAGCAGATTAGCAGATAGCCTAGCGTATATAAGCACAGCAGTCACTGAGGTAGCAGCCGGAGTGGCAATATACAGTACACAGCAGCTAACATTGATAATGTGAGGTAAAACCGCAAGTGTTTCAGTGAAAATACAGTAATTATATTTAAATACAGATATATTTAAATACAATGTGAAATCTAGTTTGATTACAGCAGCTGACTTACGTGACAATCTTGTAACCGGCTGACTTACCAAAGCTCAAAATGTCCACTCTCGGCCACTCAGACCCAACAGCGTGGACATATCGCTCATCCGTAATTTGTGTAAAGTGTGTGGACACCTCTCCTATTTATTTCTCCTATTTCTATCCAGCCAGATCTGCCCTGTGAACTGTAAATGCTGTAATCGTAATAATTATTGTAACAAATTAAATTCTAAAGAGAATGAGCAGGGAGAAAATAATTTATTACAAGTAGATTGAGAATGTACCTGATAATAATGTATTTTAAGAGTTAAATAATAATAATAATACTATGCAAATAAAAAAATGCGTTCAAAAAAATGCGTTTAAATGTCACCATTTTCTTCAGATTAAAAAAAAATCAAGTCAAGTCAAAGTTTATTTATTTAGCGTGTTTTACAGCAGGTGTTGTCACAGAGCAGCTTTACAGAAAAGTCCGGGTCCGAGCCCCCATGAGTGTCACCAGTGGTGACAGTGGCAAGAAAAAACTCCCTAAGAGCAAGAAGAAGAAACGCTGAGAGGAACCAAGACGCGAAAGGGGAACTCATCCTCCTCTGGTCGACACCGGAGAGCAAACCATAACATGCAAAATAAATACACAAATTTAATGTGTTTCTTTAAATAGAAATTGTTTACATGGAATATTTTATTTATTTATAACTTAAAACCAAAAAATAACCCTGTTTAGGACAGGCACATTATACCCTTCAGAAACTGTCATCTACAACTTGAGTGTCTACTTTTTATGATCAGACATAAAAGGAGTGGAAAATCAAGAATAAAATATGTGAGTATTGTGAGGGCTGAAAGGCACTCTATGGTGTAATATAATATTGTGATCATTTTTTGCGATACAGGGTATGTCACCATATTTACCTTTTTAGACATCTGATCAATTAGAACTGAGAGAAGAAAAGAGCCAGCAGTGCTACATTTTAAAAATAATATCAAAAGAGGTGAACACAGTGATCTTTATTCAATATCTGGCACTAAATCCAGTTAAACGGGACTAATTTTGCTCTCTTTATAGTGAATCATACGGTTGGCCAGTGTCTGCAAGTACTGACAATATACACAATATGTTCAGAAAAGCATACAGTATTGTATTGTGACATAATTTGTCACAATAATTCTATATGTTGTCATACTGTTCAGCCATAAAAATAAATAATAATGCTTGATTTTGGCTATGAAGAGACCATGGTCCAGTTTAGCCTTGTAGCCTCATCACAGTACATTGATTTTATTACTGCGATAAACCAAAAACCCATCAGTGTGAGTTACACTGCAACATGGCTTAGCATCTCAGTACACAAAGACGTGGCATTTATTTATTTATTTATTTACTGAGTCCTAATCAGAACAGCTACCACCCTACACAACACCTCGCCTTACATGTAGAATAAAGCTTAAAAAGCCTCAGATATAATGACTGGATGGCTCTGAATGTTGTAAACTACAGAATTTTGAAATACAGCACTTCTGTTCCAGATTAATGAGATTAATGTGTATCTCTTCATTTTATTCCATTTCTGCCCTGTTTTGTTTATTTTTCCTGTATATTTTGTGTTTTTGTTGTGTGTCTTAGGGTCACAGTGTAAACGAGGCCTTGGCCTCAGTGAGGATCTTATACCTTTTGGACCTTCGACACAGTTTGGCTGATGTGCTGCTACGAGAATAATCTGCAGCTTCAAATCCTGCGGTTCTTGTAGTTGTTTCGTTCAGAGTTTGACAATCTACAAATGAAGTTACCAGATGTTACCAGGTGGGCTGATGTTGTGTTAAGCAGGCGCAGAACCGTGTTGTTTATTAACTTTCAGCCTGACTCGAAGCACTTAAGCGTCTGAGGAATAGCAATATCCTGGGCTAAAACTACATTTCCCATGAGTCCCTTCGTGCGGGATACGAAGGCTAGGAGATGGGGGGAGGGGGTGTCTGTGTGTTCAAAATGTCGACCGAAACACAACATACACACTTCAGTTTTGCACATATGTGTGTGTAAGGTGTGCGCTGGCGAGCATGATCGATGTGCTTGGCTACGGAAAGTGATCAAACGAGCTGATCGGAAAGGTTGTTTACACGGGAAATCGGTGCCCGCGTCAGATTCCTGAACTTTTTAGGGGAAACAACGGCCGCATCGACACGTTAAACGGTCGCTTTTTCGTTCAGATTAATCGCACGCGAGCTGTGCGTCTTCGAAATGGTGATATTTATCGATCTTGTCGCTGAAATGTGAGAAACTCCGTTTCGGGACAGGCAGTGGAACGGCTACCTCTAGGACGAGGAGGCGGGCCTCGGCAGCACATGCCTCCTCTTCGAGCGACGCGATTGGCCGCGTCGAGACGGGCAGACTGCGTTCTCGATTCTGATTGGCTGAAGCGCGCGTCCGTCCGTCGCCCCCCTCAGGTCTGTAGTGGCATATAAGAGCGTGTGAGGCGCTCGGTCTCTGCCTGAGACCCAGCAGCTCCGAGCTTCTGCACAGCACATAACAGACTCGGACAGAATAACGTCCACCTTCTGGCATTCACGCACACACCATGCCGAGGTCACCGTGCTCGGACGGCTTTTTAGACGCCCGTGTTTAGAGAAAACCGACTTTTTCAAGGAGCCTCACAGATTTAGACCCTTTTTTACACTTGGTGCATTTCTGTTTGGGGTTCAAGGGGTCACAGGATCCGAGTACGCACGGTAAATAGTCTGTCTGTAAGTCAGATTTGTGGGTGTTTGTTTTTTTCCTCTCTTTTTTTGCAGAGAAGGCAGTTACTTGGGGGAGGGAAGCACTCAGCCACAGCTCAGCAGAGGAGAGAAGGCGGAGAAACTCGACAAGGGAGAGAGAGGGAGAGGGAGAGGGAGAGGGAGGGGTTTGGACTCTTCCACTCTGTGATCATAGTTTATACAGCATTATTAATGAGCCGCAGGACGTTTTCATCCAGGGGCGGGTTTACTAAAGCACCCTTTTCCTCCTGATCCAGCTGATGAGGCCTGGATCGAAGTCCTCGATCATGGTGCTGGCTGATCAGCTCCAGTGCAGCCTGGCTGGTTAGGTCGTGATCAGTGTAGATAAGCTGCAGATCTGCACATCTGCACCATAACTCGTACGCAAAGTTTGTAAATAAGTTTACCAAAGTAAGTTAACAGAAGCAGTTGGCTCACAACACATTGCACTCCGGGTGAGGCCGTGTTATGCTAACGTACAATGTCTTTTCTGTCTCTCTCTCAGGGCCCATGCAGGCGGCAGTGGCTAATGGAAGATGATTGAGATGTCCTTAGAGAAAGAGACTGCGTTAGCAGGCGATGGTGTGGGGGGCGTTTTAAGCCCGCCCCAGAATCTTTTGGGGCGCACCAAGACCCCCAGCCCACCCACCCCGGTGCCCGTTAGCATCGGGGCGCCTTTCATGGCGAACATGGTGCTGGCAGAGCTGCCTCCCTCGGAGGTGGAGGGCGGTATCTCTGAGACTTTGCGCCTGAGGGGGGACAGTAAGCCTTTGCAGCTGAAGAACGGCCTGCAGTCTCAGGCCGGGCCTCAGCAGCAGCAGCAGAGACTGAATAAGCGACGCTACAGCATGAACGCAGGCTTCAAGCACCCCGGCTTCAGCAAGCGCAGGCGGCGCGCTAACTCAGACTGCGAACCCGTGCTGCCCACCAACTTCCTGCTGGGTGGGAACATCTTTGACCCACTTAACCTCAACAGCCTGCTGGACGAGGAGGTGAACAAGGCGCTGAACGCGGAGACGCCCAAGTCGTCGCCACTGCCGGCTAAAAGCAGAGA